TTTTTCTTAAAAAAAGAGTAGAATATTTATATATCACCTGGTGACAAAAATAAATGAGAATATAAAGACTACGCAGTATAAAAATGACAATTTATCAAATTGTGCTTTTTATAAAAAAAAAAATTTTATAAATCTGAATTGACATCAAACTGTGTTTTACACATACAAATGAGTCTGAAAGTAGAAACTCTAATAAAATTTTGACTTTGCAATAATATTTCTCTAATTCATCAAATATTTGCATGAGTAACAACAACGTGGCATTTTTTTGGGTTGATATAAGAAAATAGGTTGATTGATATGAATAACTTTGAAGATCTATAAACTTTTGAAACACTTGAAGAACTTTTTTCCGATATATTGAATGTTTCCCAATTTGACGGCATTTGAATATGTATGATTACTTAAGTTTAATGATTTTAATTTATCATCAAAACATATGATAAATGTGATAAAATCTCATGTCAAATTCGGTGTGTTTGGTCGACAAGACGAATCAGGCAAATTCTTTTGCATATTCTCCTTTTAAAAGAAGTTTAACTTCCACTAAAAAATATATACATTTCAGTCTCTCTACATAAGTCAATCAGATAATTTGTAACGCTGGTCAGATAAAAATGAAGAACACAATGTTGGAAATTATATACAGTAAAACCTCTATAAATTAATACTCTATAAATTAATAAACACTATAAATTAATAAATTTTGCTGGTCCCAAGTCGGGACAGTGTAAAAATTGACCAAATTTGATAAGATAATAAGATAATAATTTTTTTGAAATTTATATGTAAAATATAGTCCCAATAATATCATAAATTAATAATCACTATATATATATATGGTAGATATATTAATATATGTTTTTAGTTTTTGTAAAAATCAATTTTCTCCCAGAGTTCACCTCAATAAATAATTTTATCTTAGTATATTTTTAAACAATAATCTTGTGATATATACCATCACAAGTCATAAAAATAATCAAATTTTCTTTATGTTTTCAATTTTTAAATATGCATCATATTCATGTTTTATATAGGATGTTGAAATATAACAATTGAGGTTAGTAATATACAATTAAATTTATGTATATAATTTGTATAAGTGAATTTATCTATAATATTTATAGTTTATAGTCAAATTTCTCTTTTTCTAAATATAATATTCATTTTCAAACTACTGTATAATTTATAATATCTATAAGATTAGACTTGGTTTTGTAAAAATGTGTCAATTCGTACTTTTAAAAAATTTGAAAAAATTAAAATATCACTATAAATTAATAATTATTAATTTACACTATAAAATAATAAATATTAATTTATAAATAAATTAATATCACTATAAATTAATAAAATATCTTGGTCCCAACATTATTAATTTATAGAGGTTTTACTGTATATCTTAATGTCCATTAAAAATATATTATTTCCCAACTTCGCTATTTTAATTTTAAACATTTTTCATATTTAGTATAATATTATAAATTGAAAATAAGATCAAATAAAAGTGAAAGAAGAATGATAATTGTTTTTTAATATATTCTATTAAATTAGTTAGATAAATATTAGGAAATCATAAAATTAGTTATGGAAATAATATAATCCTAAAATTATTGTCAAGTAAATTTGAGTAGCATTAAGCCATAGTGTATCAAATATCATATCAAGAAACCCTTTATTCATTTATTTTCTTATGAAAATAAGATACAAAATAAAATAAAAAATTCTCGATATGATATTGAAATTAAACTCGATCGATTTCTGTAGAAACAAAGTTTTAAAAGAAAATTCGAAACTATGATCAAATCATATAAATATTACCGAATATGTTGATTTACTAACATATAAACAATATGCTTGGACATACATATGTTTAATAAAAATTTATATAAAACAAAAGCTCAATTCTATGGAAAACAATAAAAAATGATTATAAAACCCTGTAAAACCTCAATTGTAACTATATATATATATATATATATATATATATATATATATATACATAAGGAATTCCTAAATCGGCTCACGAGATATATATATATATATATATATATACATCCATACCAATTCTTGATAAATCTGTAGAAGTTGCACAAAACTTGATCTTTTCTCTCAAAATTACCAAGTATATATTATATGTGATTTGAACATATTATTTTCCAAATGTTCTGGTCCATAACATGCGCTTCTTATAAACTCACGTGGAGACAAGGAAAAATTTAATCTCATTTCAAAATTTAATTAATAGTAGAGTTTTTCAAAGTTTGTTAGCTTTAGAATTCAGTCATTGGATCAAATATATAATCTCGTTGTTGTGCCATTAAATATACGTATCATCCTATAAGTACGTGTTAATATGCAAAAGTCCATCACATGCATCAAATAATCAAATATCTAACTTAGTGTTTGTTCAATAAGTCATATGACTCTCAAGGCTAGAATTTGAATGCTCTCATTGTTTAATTTGCATGGCTGACTATTACGAACATTACAAACATTTATTTTTATTTGATAATGTAATTATACATAAAAACGTTTGAAAAAATTGTATTACAAACATTTCAATTCTTGAGAAAACTATGACACCAACTACAGAAGCCAAATTCTTTTTTTTTTTTTTTCAATACAAGTCACGATGACTACTGTGCAAATGAAGACATCGTCAAACTCAAATGAAAATATATGTCTCAAATAAAAAGAATGAGATGAGTTTAGGCTGTTTTAGCAATAAAGGTAAAACAAGATTAGACATAAGGTAAGGTCGTTGTTTTGACCCACATGCTTGTTGATTTGTTACTATGTCAACTTAAAACCCGTTGACTGCTTGACAATATCATAAACTTATTATCATTTACTTTGGTGTCAAATTAAGCAAATAAGTGGAACCTAGACTTAATTATTTTTATTTTATGTATTTACAAAAATAATCGGTTAAATTATTATTTTCTCGACAAATATATATTGATATTAGAAAGTATTTACATGCATAAATGTAGAAAATTATAATAATTTCAAAAGAATCAAGAGTATTATTAGAATAACAATCATTTTTTAATTGTATTAGGCAAAAAAATTATTGGATAAAAACGATATTAAAGACAATAATATAAAAATTAGTTGTATTGTTTATTTCATCTGATTTTTTTTAAACTGTTCATATATCATTAGTCATCTTCTCTATTCGCTTAAAATCTTGTATTAATTTCTATTAATACTACTAATTTCTTGTTTGAAAAGAGGCAGAACGAAGAAATGAATGCAGAAGAAGAAAAAAAAAAAAAAAGAAGTCGTGAAAGATTTGTTTGGTCAAAGTCTCAAAGATCAAAGTGAAGGCTTCAAAAGATCATCTTCTTGACTCGAAAAATCAATTGTGGAATGTTACTGGTCTTGGAGGCTGCCAAAATTGCATTTATTTTCCATTGACGACATTTCATGTGGTGTGGTCCAATGTCTGCCACTACTATTGTAATCACTGATGATTCTAGTTTTTCTAATAAAGGATTTGAGCCATATAATATTCGCATTACTCATAAAGGCATTCTAAAATTGTAGAAACAAAAATGGAATTTTGTGTTTTTATACACTTTTCATATTAGCTTTTCCTAAGCTGTCAAGTGATACACATCATTAGTTTAACGAAAACATCATTAAAGAATCATGTGAAGAGGAGAAAAAAACAAGTGAATGGAGTTGAAATATCAATACGTGTTTATGATGAGTGCATTAGTGCATTATTAACAAGAAGGTGGAGATCACAACCTTCTCCAATGACTCATTAAGCTTCCATATAATTTGCATATATTAATGTCCATTAAAAGGGGCACAGTTCAACTGTTCTAAACCTTTAATTCTTGTTTATGCCGACATTATGTTTTTTCTTGTATTTCTTTTTTTATAAAGTATTTTTCTCTTACGATATGATGTTTTAAGCGTAATTCTTTAATCTTTAAGTGTTATCGCTAATTCTACCCAAAAAATGTGTTAAGACCATCATTATTGGAAACATCTTAGAATTGAAAACAGGTATCTCAGCATAGTGTTTTGTATCTTATATAAAATACAAAACATTGTGCTAAGATACTCATTTTCAATTCTAAGATGCTTCCAATAATAATGTTGCTCTAAGTAGCAAAATCGGTAATATAGGGAAAAATCTTAATTTTTATATGGTTCTTTTTCTAGTCCTCATCATGAGTCATACATGACGATATGAAGATGACCCAATTGATATAATATTTGATTTCTACATAAAACCAAAATAATAGACTACATTATATTTTATTTATTTGTAAGCATACTATTTTTTTTAAAAAAAATCTAATATATGGAAATAAATATAGGATTCTTTGTCTTCAATGAAATTATATTTGAAAATTTATATATTTGGTCCCCCTTGAAATAAATTTTTATGACCACACGTTCTAAGACTTAAAACGGATAGAAAACTATTTTTTTATTAGATTTTGTTTACAAAATAATAATATTAAGGAGTATATCAGAATGTTGTGTGTTTGTTGGAGCTTGATTTTATTATTCATCAAGTAGAAATGCATGTTGTACCATTAGTCAACAAAATATATTTGTTTCCAGTTCCTTTTTTTTACCATCTAATATAGTAAAATTTTAGCATACATTTCTGATAATTGACCAATATTTTTTTAACATATATAAATATATATATATATTTTTTAACATAACATTTCTATTATTGTATTCAAATTGATATCTCATTTCCAAATATTGAAATTGGACTTATTTATATGGTCACAGGTCCCCCCAACCACAATTTCGTTCCAATCTCCTCCACAATGGAGTGAATGGACCACTATTCACAAATTTGGTTCCAACTTCAAAGGAGTCAAACGAAAACTATATGAAACATAAAGGACCATTTTGAAAATTTAAGTTCTTTCATGGAACCTTCGTTGTATATCCAGTACAACGCTACTCACTCGGTATGTACACACCTGAAATCAAATTCTCTATATATATCACACAATCTCACTTCCCATCCCAGACACATCAAAAACAATAACTCCTAAATCTCTAACACAACAGAACCCAAAAGAAAAAACAAAAAAAAATATGGTATCTTTTGTAACAGAGAAGAAGCAAAATCTTAACCTATTGTCTAGAATCGCCTCCGGTGACGGCCACGGCGAGAACTCGTCGTACTTCGATGGTTGGAAAGCTTATGAAGAGAACCCATTTCACCCAATTGATAGACCTGACGGAGTTATCCAAATGGGTCTCGCTGAGAATCAGGTAATTTCGAAATAAAAATCCAAACTTTATTTTTGTTCTGTTCTTCTCTGTTTCTGTAACCTTGAAAGATTAAAAAAAAAACCTAACTTTATTGCTTAAATTGTGTAGCTTTGTGGTGATGTGATGCGTAAATGGGTTTTGAAACATCCAGAAGCTTCGATTTGTACAGAACAAGGTTTGAATGGATTCAGCGACATTGCAATCTTCCAGGATTATCATGGCTTACCTGAATTCAGACAAGTAAGTAATCTTTGTTGTTTGAACTCAGCCAATTTCATAACTTTTGCTTTGTTTGGTTTCTAAAGATTCTAACTTTATTGTTTTACTTCTTTCAGGCTGTAGCTAAATTTATGGAGAAGACAAGAAATAACAGAGTTAAGTTTGATCCTGACCGGATTGTTATGAGCGGCGGAGCAACCGGAGCACATGAGACAGTTGCTTTCTGTTTAGCTAATCCTGGTGATGGTTTCTTAGTACCAACTCCTTATTATCCAGGGTTTGTTTCAAAGATCTTGGTTCATTGAGTTGTGTCACATTAGTACTTAGTTTGATTTGGTTATCTAAATTTGGTTTGGTTTGGTTTCAGGTTTGATAGAGATTTGAGATGGAGAACAGGAGTGAATCTTGTACCTGTTACTTGTCATAGCTCTGATGGGTTTAAGATCACTGTGGAAGCCTTGGAAGCTGCATATGAAAAGGCCCGGGAGTCGAATATTCCGGTTAAAGGTTTACTTATGACGAATCCTTCGAATCCGCTTGGTACTACGTTAGACAGGGAGTGTTTGAAGTCTCTTGTTAAGTTCACTAATGAGAAAAAGATTCATCTTATTGCGGATGAGATCTATGCTGCAACTACATTTGGTCAGTCTGAGTTTATAAGTGTTGCGGAAGTGATCGAGGAGATCGAGGATTGTAACCGCGATTTGATTCATATTGTCTATAGTCTATCCAAAGATATGGGGCTGCCTGGTTTTAGAGTTGGTATAGTATACTCTTACAATGACCGGGTGGTTCAAATCGCAAGGAAAATGTCGAGTTTTGGTCTTGTTTCGTCCCAAACGCAGCATTTAATCGCCAAAATGTTATCCGATGAAGACTTTGTGGACGAGTTCATCCGCGAGAGCAAACTACGGTTAGCTGCAAGGCACGCCGAGTTAACCACGGGCTTAGATGGTTTAGGCATCGGCTGGTTAAAGGCCGAAGCTGGTTTGTTCCTATGGATGGACTTAAGAAACCTCTTGAAGACAGCTACATTTGATTCGGAAACCGAACTATGGCGTGTGATCATCCACCAGGTGAAGCTAAACGTATCTCCAGGCGGTTCGTTCCATTGCCACGAACCAGGATGGTTCAGAGTATGTTTTGCCAACATGGACCACAAGACGATGGAGACAGCTCTAGAGAGGATAAGAGTGTTCACTAGCCAACTAGAGGAAGAGACTAAACCAATGGCTTCAACAACTATGATGGCTAAGAAGAAGAAGAAGTGCTGGCAGAGTAACCTGAGGTTAAGCTTCAACGATAAAAGACGGTTCGACGATGGCTTCTTCTCGCCTCATTCACCTGTGCCGCCTTCTCCGCTAGTCCGTGCACAGACTTAAGAAGACCGTTCATGTTTTTGACTAGAGACCAGTCGTAAAGTTGAAAGATCAAATTCTTTTAACATTGATTGTGACATTTGTCTAATTTAATGTATAGCCTACGACTATCAAAGTTGAATTGTTTTATTATGTTATCTCTCTCTGTGTAATTTTAACCAATTGAATAATGTTAATGAGAAATCAGAATTTGCAACTGTTGTCACACTGGTCAATACCGACTCTAGTGCCTAAGTTTTTAATCAAATCAAACGTTGACTCAACCAGCATAACCGGGATTCTTACATGACAAAACCGGTAAAAAGTTGGTAATCAAATCAAATGCCGATTTAACCAGCATAACCGGGATTCTCACATGACAAAACCGGTAAATTGACCGGTCCATTGTGGAATTTTTGTTTAAAACACATCTTATGGATTGTTAAATTGGAAAATAATTTAGTCTATCCAAAAATTATACTGTTGTCTATAGTCTATCCAAAGATTGTCCAAATATATATAATAAAAAGAGAAAATTGTATTCTCTGTCATAAACAGTATAATTTCTTTTAAGAAATGCCACTTTTAATCCAATCTGCCATAAAATCAAGATCGTAATTTATATTTTTTTTTACACAAAACTTTAAAAGCCCTTTCATCTATTTATTTTTCGATAAAACATGATACATCACTTAATTGATTATAAAATTAAAGCTCAAAGTAAGCTCGATTCACGAGTTTGAATGTGAAGCTCTTCCTTAGTTTTTGGTTTTGATTCTAAAATAACTATATTCTTGAGTTTTGATATGAAACTCTTCTTTTTAGCTTTTAGTTTCGATTCTATAAACACGTATAGGTGGTGATGGATGGGCCACATTACGAATAACTTAAGATATTAATCAAGCAACTTAAGTTTTTAGTTGGATTTTATCAATTTCTAACTCAACTCCCAAGTTTGATTAAAGTTTAACCATTTTCATTGCTTCTTCTTATAAAAAAATCATTTTATATTTTCAATTAATTTTAATATTATTTACAGATATCAAACAATATATCAAATACATTTCCTAATGTGAATTAATCTGTTTTGAAGATATATGTATGATGTGTGCATGTGTATTGATTTATTTGCACAAATAACTATGTGCATCTTATGGTGTGCCAACAAAAAGTACAACTTGAAATTTTCACTTCGTATAAAAATCTCATGCTCGAAAGTTCATTTTATGTACAACAATTGACGCGAACTATGCGTTGAAAATGATCGAATGTTATTCCATAGCGATCGAAAAGTGTAAGAAAATTTAAATTAATTTTTTTAATGGTAAGAAAAAGTTATTGTATTAACCTACAAATACTATTCTACGAATGTTATAATTGTCACAAAACTTGTTTTAGTACTATTCTAAGGTATTTTCTATAAAGTTTTAGAAATTGGTATATTGTTTAGAAAGAGAAAAATTTGTTGGGCCACAAATAAAATGAACAAATCTACAAAAACAAAATAAACTACTTTTTAGAGCAAATAAATTTTGATGGGTATAACAATTAGTTTTGCTAAAAGAATTGTTTTTTCTTTTCTTTTTTTAACCAAGAATAAGAAGTAATGAAAAAATCCAAACCAGATAATCAAAATCCTTTAAAAAAAGAGTCGATATAATTTATTGTCGGAGGGAGAATTCTCCTTAGTTTTCGTCAGTCTTAATTAAGTTAGTTCCCTTCCTTTGACAGCTGATGTTGTGATAATTCATAAGGAAAATACTTTCTTCTTGAATTCATTTATTGTTTGTCTTTTTTTTTTAATTCATGCATCATATATATGTTGTTTTTGACACACCATTTCAGAAATTCGGAATGACCTTATATATATATATTTTCTTTTTCCATAATGATTTAAGACCCAAATTCCACATGTAAGCGTAACCACTAAATTTTGTAAAACCCGGATGCTTATGATAAGTTATAAAAACTAGGCCATACAAAACTCACATATTGCCTTTTTAAAAAAGGAATTGGTTGCAAAAATATTTTGATATCTTTGTTAGTTTCATAACGTTTCGGGATGCTAATTAACACTTTCCCAACGATGAAACTAGCTTATTAGTGTATTCATGTGTTGGGTTTGTTGTTTCAATGCTTCACGTGTATAGATTGTTGCAAATTTCTTGTTACTAGCATAGTAGCCAAATGGGCATAGCGTAATTACAATGTACTCATTATCAAATGGGAGAGAAAAAAATCAAGTTCACGTACCTTTTTTTAAAGGTTCAATATTAATATGATACTCCATTATTTCATAATAAGTAATATTTTAGCTTTAAAAACAAAATGATATGTTTTTTTTTCCAATACATTTGCATATGAGACACCTATAATTTCCTCTACTTTGATTATTGTTTTTCCAATACATTTAAATTTTTTTCCTACCTTGATTTTGCATATCTAAAATTTTATATATGCGATATTATATACAAATTAGTACATTTGAAGTGTATAGCTACTGTTCCAAAACAAAAATAATAATAAGTGTATAGCTTTGTGTGCTTTTTTTTTTTTTTTGAAACAAGCTATGTGTGCTTGTGTTTCTTGATTGGGAGTCTAGTCATTTTGGATTTCATTCGAAGTTAATAATTGTATAAAAACTGAATAAGAAATTTTCTTGAAAACTATATTAATTTTAAAAGAAATTATAACGTAGTGTCATGCATGCGTTAAGGATCCAATGATCCACACATACAATAATGGATTAATTTTTGGATATATATATACTATATGTAAATTGATGATCGATAACTAATACTAATGTCGTTATGTTCTTGAATTTATTTAAAAATATATATACTATAGATAGAGGTACTATTTTTTGGTCAAGTAAAACTATATACATTTATAAATAATGTTAGAAAATCTCAGTAACGTGAACGGTCTCGGTCATATATGGCCCATGGCGGCTTTAACAATGGTGGGAGCAGGTCCTCGGGTTAACATACAATAATACCATAAGACAGTTTGAGTTGAAAGATTTGGTTATAAAAACTTTGAAAAGTTTTAGTAAACATATTATTTAATTGCATGTGTATTGTAAAGTATAAGAATGCACACATGGCTCTACCTAAGCTAGCTATTAGCATATAGCTAAAACGAAAAAGTCTTATGTATTGATTAATAAGTTTTGAGATTTTTGTAACAAAAAGAGAAATAGTTTAAAGTTTTTATTTATGACCGAACCAAAAATAAACTTGTAAAACGTATAATGAAATTTGCCATGCATATATATTAACGTAAACACTATATAGAGTTTTTTGTTTGAGGTTCTACTCCACATATTCATATTAAAGACATGTAATACGTAATGATATTAACGTTAATTTTTACAGGTTAGATATTATATCAAGAAAATGGTAGATATTAAGCAAAAGAAAAGGTGTAGATCACGATCAACGTTTTGTTTTAAAAAAAAATTGTTAGTTAATAATTAGCAAAAGAAACTGATCAATATTATATATGTGAATTGTTATCCTTAAAGAACATTCGTCAACGAATGTTAGTTGTTGTTTGTTAATTGGGTTGTTAATTAACAAGCATTATTAAAAGCATTTGGTTAAGGGTTAGTAGATAATTATATTGCAAATGTCTTCAACTTCATTAAAAAAAATAAAAAATACTTACATATGCAATGATTTGTCTACCAAATACAATCAATTAACTAACCAATTTTCTTGACGAAATAGAAAAGATTAATCGAAATTCTCATCTATATAGATAGATAGACTAATAAAAATAGCCATTATCGTGTAATCAAGCCACACACAAAAGATTGATGTTGACAACAAAATAACACACACATAGCTTGGAATTTTAGTAGTGTCCTGGCATGACAAGTTGAATAAATTACGAGCTAGGTAAATAAAATTTTATAAAAATTAGCACAAATTGTTGGCAAAATCTATGTGAAATTTTTTTGGTCTACTGATCTTTATAATCTTTATAGCATATATCAGATTTGCGGTTACATAATGCATATTTTGCAAAGGAGTGATGCAAGACTACTCAAAAGTTTCAGAAAACTGCAAACAGTTTTTTTACAAAAAAAAATAAATAAATAAATAAAAAACATATTTTAAAACCCAACACACTAATATATTTATACTTCTATTCCATCAAACAAATATTTAGATTTTAAATCTCTTTAGATAGAGACCATAACTTTAGATACTTCCCCCCCCCCCCCCAAACCTATTTTTCATCCAATCACACTAATATATTATACTTTAAACATTGAAGAGTTTTACGAAAGACAAAAACCAATTTTGCCTATCGTAGAGGCTATCTTAACCATGCTACAATATTGCATGTCATTGCCTCTCTAAGATCGGTCATAGAAGAACCACCTATCTTATATACTCTTATCATTTTTTTTTAGCATTCTACGGTTCTCCGAAAAACAAATCCAACCACTGACAAGATTACGAAAATTTAGTTTGAACAAATATTTTTTTTTTAAATGACTAAGTGATTATACTATCCAATTTAATTTAATATAGTTTTTAAAAGTAAAATTAATATTACGATGTTACTAGTATTATTATTATCTTTGATTATATAATTATTTAGATGGCATATTTTATCAATTTTAGATATTAAGTTATCAAATATTTAAATTACTTTTTGATGTCCATTAAGTTGTCAAAAAATTTAGTTACTTTTTTTTTATTGGTTAGTAATTTTGGAGAGAAATATTTGTACAAGTGTCTCTCTCCTCAATTTTGTTACATTATATAGATGTACATGTTAAATAATAAATTATATTTCATACAATTTACTTTTCTGTCCTTATAAGCTAATTAGTTTAATTAAAGTTAATATTTTCAAAATAATATTGGTTTATGTATTAAATTTCATTTCAATTTTATTAATATTAGGATATAATTTGCCGCCTCTCTTCACTTATTTGTGTAATTATATATATGTAAACACTATTCTTAAATTATTTAAAACAATTAAAAGAACTTTAATAAGTAATAACAATAAGAAAAGACAAGACAATATTATTTTTATGATGATAATTTAAATCAAACAGGAATAAATAGAACATGCTAGTTAGCTACTTTCTTCTTGTTGTCTTCTCCTCGTTGATTTATCCTCTCAAGACCAACACCATATATAATCCTACCATGGGCATTCATATTCTCCATTAAACATTGGCAAATCAAATTTTTCTAAGTGTGACATCTAAAACAAAATGGCGAGATTCGGGTTAGCTCTTGTAATGATTCTTGCGATTCTAGGATCTGTGAGCTTTTCAGAAGCTCAGTTGAAGATGGGATTCTACGACAAAACTTGCCCTTACGCAGAGAAGATTGTACAAGATGTTGTCAACCAACATATCCACAATGCACCTTCTTTGGCCGCTGGCCTTATCAGGATGCATTTTCATGATTGCTTCGTTCGGGTATATATGATCACTATCTTTCTAGTTATACAATTCATAAACTATATATATTAGTTTATCTGCGAATTATATCATAAGTATACTCAATATACATACTATTGCTCGAAACTGTTATTAACAATCTCCAAGATAAGTAAATTAAAGAAAACGTCTAAGTTCTAATCATATAATTACTTTTTTAGGCATTTGTTTATCATATATTATATGCAAAAACGTATATTTTTTCATATGAATACGTACGTATTGGTGTTGACAGGGTTGTGATGGTTCGATCTTGATCAACGCGACATCGAGGAACCAACAAGTCGAGAAGCTTGCTCCTCCGAATCTAACTGTTAGAGGTTTCGACTTCATCGATAAAGTAAAGTCTGCTCTAGAATCAAAATGCCCTGGAATCGTCTCCTGCGCCGATATCATCACCCTCGCTACTAGAGACTCTATTGTTGCTATTGTGAGTATGCTAATACTTTAAGTTACCTCGATAAGTCTAAACTCTAAACTTGATCGACACTAAAACTAACGGGGTTCGATTATTTTGGCTTAGGGTGGACCAACATGGAATGTTCCAACAGGACGTAGAGACGGACGTATCTCTAACTTTATCGAGGCTCGGAACAATATCCCTCCTCCTTTTGGGAACTTCACGACTCTTATAACCTTATTTGGAAACCAAGGACTTGATGTTAAAGACCTCGTCTTATTGTCCGGTAAAATCCTACTCCAAATTGTCTTTTTTTGGGTTTGGTTTTGTAACGTGGGTTATTACAAACGTCGTCGTTTTCGTAACACTGTCAAATTTAAACGTTTTAGGTGCACACACTATTGGAGTGTCTCATTGCTCATCCTTCTCAAAACGTCTCTTCAATTTCACCGGTGTTGGAGACCAAGACCCGTCCCTCGACAGCGAATACGCTGCCAATCTCAAGTCGCGGAGATGCTTGTCTATCGCCGACAATACAACAAAGGTCGAAATGGATCCCGGCAGTAGAAACACCTTTGATCTTAGCTACTTCCGTCTTGTCCTGAAACGTCGTGGACTTTTCGAGTCTGACGCTGCATTAACTATGGATCCTGCGGCGTTGGCTCAGGTCAGACGTTTCGCGGGAGGATCGGAACAAGAGTTTTTTGCTGAGTTCGCAAAGGCAATGGAGAAAATGGGAAGGATTGGTGTCAAAACCGGGTCAGATGGTGAAATCCGAAGAACATGTGCATTTGTTAATTGAAAAGGTTTCTCACTTTTGTCTTTTTGAATGGTTTTTAATATCGTTAATTTTGGATGTTTTTTGTGTGACTTTTTTGGGTATTTAATTTACAATTTCGTGATATGTATTTATGTGGTGGAAATGTGATTTTCCGAATAAATTTCACGTATGTGAAATCGTTGTACTATAAATCTTCCATTCATTTATCTATCAATAAAAAAATTGCTTTTGTCGTTTTGTATTATACATTTGGTCAGATGCATTAGCATTACTACTGCATTATTTTTTTTTTCTTTTTCTAGAAGACAATACATAAATTTTAGTGTATAAATATAACATAAAATGTTTTCTGTTTCTGTTCTTCAACATATAATCATTTTAGAAAATAGAAAATGATTAATCAGTTTTATAAAAGTGACTAAATTTGACTCAAAAAAAATATATGTAAAAGGAAAATTAAAGCTAGATTAAAAAAAAAACAAGCTAAGTTATGACCAAAAAAAAAAAAAAAATCTTATTGGTAAATATATTTTAAACCTAAAATGTGTGAAAAGTATGAGTACTAAGGACGAAAACAAAAAAAGGTTACTAATTTTTTAAAAACTTTTTATTTTTTATAACTAGTTTAATTTTCAGATAACTTAATATAGTCTTTCTTCTTAACTATTGTTGTAAGTAAGCCATAACCCAACATGGTAAGCTCAGTTGTGGGCTTAAAAATATATTGGCCTTATTAAAAGCCCATTGACCCATAATTCATCACTGTTTGCTTCTCTTCTCAGTTCTCACATACCATTTTTAAGCTACACACACAACACAAGTAAAGTTCTTCAGACGTTTTTATACTTTGTCCAAGCAACATCACTAGAGTATATATCACATAAAAACCTCAAGTGTGAAAAAATACAGTTTCGAAATCACAGTATTACACACACACAAAAAAAAAAGGAACTTGGTGTATACATTATCTTTAACTAGGTAATGTCCCGCGCATATGCGCGGGTTGTTGTATATTTATTTAATTATTTTAATTTATTTATTATTTATAAAAAATATATTAAATAAATTTTAATGTTTATGACATTTTTACATTTTATTTATTTAAATCATACAATAGAAGCATACATCCATATCTTTTGAATTTATTCGTTGATTAATTGTTCAATTTTGATCGTAATTTTCTTTAGTGCTTTTAAGTATTTTTTGATAAAACAATAATATTGTTAATGATAAAAATAGGAATGATATTGGGAGAATTTAAAAAATACCCTTTTAAAAATACCACTTTTTAAATTTACCCCATTTTCAAACTTTATCAAAACAACCACTAAAAATGTTAAAATTTATCCATATATGTGTGTAAACTTATAAATATATACACAAATTACCTTTATTTGTGTATAAAATTTTATTTATTTCAATGTCTTACAAACTGGTTTGAATATAACCAAAAATTTCTACTATAATTGCTCCATTTAATATATATATATATATATTTTTTTTTTTAAATTTAATATTTATTTACCAAAAAACACATTAAATCATATTCATCAATTCATACTTTGAATCCACACTTTACTACTAAATTGTAACTGAAATGATATAACTTGTGAATTGACTATTTGTTTCCTCCATTCAATTTCAACTAACACACTATAAATTATAATTATAACTCCTCTAATTTAATTATTTTAGAAATATAAATTACATCATATTTTATCCTATACATACCCATTCTTACATCCTCTTCCACCATATTTGATACCTTCAATATTTTCTTTGTTTTATTTTTAATGTTCTTGCATAGGTTGAAAGCTCAATTAAGATATCATTGTAAGAACTTGATTATATATTTGGTTTAAAATTTTGTTTTCAATTCTATTTTTTCTTTTGTTTTATGTAATTCTTCATTTCTTCATTGTTTTCTTATACTGATAAATATATAATACATATATATAATAATTTTTTATGTCTATAAGAAAATTACTTTATCAATGAGATTCAAAAATATTTATTTTCGACTATCACACATAAGAAAATCAAGTAAAAAAAAACCATATTCATTCTTTTATTTTAGATGTTTGTTTTTTCTCACATATTCATGTATATTTATTTTAATTTCAAAAGTATGTAATTATTGTAACAAAATAATTTTTAATATAGTTATCATACCAATTTGTAAGACATTGAATAAATAAAATTTTATAAACAAACAAAGGTAATGTGTATGTATATTTATAAGCTTACACACATATTTAGATAATTTCAACATTTTTAGTCATTTTTTGATAAAGTTTGAAAAAGGGATAAATTTAAAAAGTGGTATTTGAAAAGGGGTATTTTTAAAATTCTATCAATACCATTTCTATTTTTATCATTAACAATATTATTATTTTTTTATTCAAAAAATACTCAAAGGTACTGAAGAAAATTAATATCAAATTGAACAATTAATCAACGAATAAATTCAAGAGATATGAATGTATGCTTGTATTGTATGATTTAAGTAAATAAAGTGTAAAAATTTCATAAACATTGAAATTTATTTCTTCTATTTTTTATAAATAATAAATTAATTAAAATTAATTAACTTAATATTCAAAAACCCGCGCATATGCAAATTGAATATCAAATTGTTTTTTATATAGGAAATCAAGTATAAAATTCAAAGTTAACAAAAATTATAATGTTGTTTATAGTATTACATGTTGAATCACAAACTAAATATAAGGATCATTATTCTTAAAAGAATGTCTTATAAATTGGTTTGATAATTATATAACAAAAAGTTTATTTTGTTAAAAAATTACATACTTTTGAAATTAAAATAAATATACATGAAATGAATATGTGAGAAAGAAACAAACATCCAATGTAAAATAATGAAGATGGTTTCTTTAGCTTGATTTTCTTATAACCATAAAATATTATTATACATATGTATTACATTTAAAAATATAAAAAACAATGAAGACATACAGAAATACATAAAACAAAAAATAAATAAAATTGAAAACAAAAGTTTAAACTAAGTAATTAATCAAACTCTTACAATGATATTTTCAATGAGTTTTCACCCCATGCAAGAACTTTAAAAAAAAAAACAAAGAGAATAATGAAATATGAGATATGGTAGAGAAGGATGTGAGAATGGCTATTTATATGATAAGAAGTGATGTAAGTTACATTTTTAAAATAATTAAATTAGAGGAGTTATAATTATAATTTATAGTGTGTTTAATTGGAATTCAATGAAGAAAATCAATAGTCTTTGGAAATTTATATAATTTTCAGTTTTATTTTAGTAGTAAAGTGGGAATTTAAAGTATGAATTAATGTATATGATTAAATATGTTTTTTTGGTTTAATTAAAAATAAATATTATATTTTAAAAAATAAATACAAAATGGAACAATAAAGAGAGTGAAACCTTACTTTTATATATATATGATTTTAAATAATTTTCCACCAATAAGCCTTATAAAATTTGTTGTATGATATATTGATTAAGTCTTTTCATTTTCTTTGCCATTTGATTATAACTTATAGTGTAATTAAATTTTGTATTGAATGATTGTCATAAACATTTATTTATTTATTTATTTTGTTGAATGATATATGATTAAGTCCTTTCATTTTCTTTGCCATTTGATTATAACTTATAGTGTAATTAAATTTTGTATTGAATGATTGTCATAAACATTTATTTATTAAAAAAAAATATAAAGCCTTAAATATTTTTCCACCAATAAGGAGAGAGTGAAACCTTACTTTTATATATATGATTACGAACTGTAAAGTATGTACGTCAAAAGATTTATCACATAAATAAAACAATCAAATATTGATTCTCTTTTAACTTAATCAAAAGAGATTACCCAAAAGATTAGATTTTTCTCAACAAAAGAGTTAAAAAGATTACAAATCAGTGATGTTGATCAATCACTTCAAGAATCTCACTTCTGCTTTTAACCAACCTATGAAACACTTCCCTAACTCTTCTTTGTAACCCTTCAAGCCCATCTCCCATTTTCCGACATATCTCCTCCATCTCCGCCACTTCCGCCGTCACATCCTCCTCCCCATTAAACCTAAACCCTTCACTAAACTCCATCAGCTTCAACCCTATCCTCTCCATCCTCTGCATCTCCTCCATCAATCCACCGCAACGTGTCTCCTTCTTCTTCATCTCTTCTCCGATCCTCTCCGAGATGCTCACGGCGGCGCTGGCCCAAATTTGATTCTTAGGCAACGGTAAATGAACGGCTAAGCCGTTACTTGTTTGACAAGGAACCGCCGCAACTAACGTCCACATCACCGTGACCATCACGCTACTCATTATATAAATCGGCGACGACTCTCCGCCACGTGGCGCCACGAGATTCGTTGTCATTGCTTGAATCTGCTTCGCCGCTGACCAGTTCTTGCTCACACACCCTCCTCCGCTTCCGCTTCCGCCGCTACGACGGCTAAAGGAAGACCACTGTTCCGAAGTTGACCTCCTCCCACTTCCACCGCCGCTGCCGCTGATTTTATCTGCGTTTAAAGCGGCGAGGAGGCTACTGAGAGCTCGTTTAGCTCTCCTAACGCTTCCGTCACTCAACGGCGTTTGTTTCAACGCCGTAACAGCAATCTCCGCAAGCCGCTGGATTTGTCTGACTGAGTCAACGCCGTTGACCACGGCGGTGCAAATATCAAGAGCCTTAACAATCCGGTCTAGCATCTCCGGTACAAGCTTATCCAACGGCGGTTTCGAGATCTGAGACGGATTCGTCGTCAGAACAGAGTGGAACTCTGTTTCTATAGACTGGAACACATCAAGAAGCTTCCTTAGCCACTGGATCGAAAGAACCGGGAAAGATTCCGGCGAATCCGACGGTAGTAACTCGGAGAAACGCTCGGCTACGTGTTTTTGGAAGTCTTCGAGTTCTTCAAGCTCTTGCTCGTGATTAACGTCCATGGAAACGATCTGGTTACGACGGCTGATTCGACTAAGGAAAGAACTCTGGTGCTCCGTCACCGGCGCCATTTAAACCGGCGAGAGTAGAACAAGATTTGTGGGGGAAGAAAGAAGAAAGAGAGAATCTTGAAAAAGCAAGAGAAGGGTTTTGTTTTGTTATGATGAGATAATATTTTGATTGACCAGAGAAGAGAGAGTCATTATAAGGGAGATGAGAATAAGATTGGAAGACATGTTTTGTCTGGTAGCTAGACCAGAGACTTGTTCTTCTCTCTCTTTTTTTGCTTTTCTTGAACATAAATTGTTTTTTTTTTTTTTTTTTACTTCACTATTTTAGTATAGAACTTTCAATTTATTTCAAGAAGTTGATTTAAACCCAAAAGTGTAACTTGTCTTGTTATAAATTTTTTTTTTCTTACAAAATGTTTGTTGCTACTTTTCATCCATAAGTAATATATAATTTTGTAATATAATTCAAAAAATTGTTTGTAAGTAATATAATTTTAAAAAATTGTTTGTAAGTAATATATACTTTTTACAAAATTTATTTTTATAGTTTTTTGGTAAGTAAAGTATTTTTCTAGTTTTAGTCATGATTTCTTGTTTTAAAATTTTAAATTTAGTCATATAAATACTATTATATATTTTTTAAAAAAAAATTTAAAAATATTTTAAATCAATGGAGATGCACTTAGGTTTTCTATATCTCTCTCTTTCACTTTACTTTGATGTTCAAATAAAATAAGGTTTTAGTTTTAAAAAAAAATTAACACTAAAAGATGGTATTAAGTTATTTTTACAAAATGGTATCTTAATAAATTTAGACTCCAAAAAATCTAGGGTCCATGCAAGAAGGTCCTAGTTATTCAATTCGTCAAAAAAAATATAAAGTCTATCGTTAGTAGATGTTTTTGGAAGGTCCTAGTTAATTTATCAACAACGTACCACTCTGGTCTAACACACTCCTAATTGAGTGGTGAAGAGACTTCCATGAAGGCTTGGACCATTTAACCTAATTCCATGATCATAGCAACTCTCTTGTAATATATTGTTTGATGTTACTATAGTGTATTATTAGGGTAAATTACCTAAGTAATGTTCTAATATTCTCTTTTTATCTTTTTGTTCGATCGCTATGAGTTGAGTTCGTTGTTTGTTTATTATTGTTGAACACCAAAATTGGGTTTATCACAAAATGATGTGTGTAAGTGTGTAATGTAAGGAATCAGACCGTTTCGTAGCTGAACATCTTCTGGAAAGGATTCAACTCTTCCATCAGGTTGAAAATATCATCGTTGTCGGAAGCAAAAAGGATAAGAGATAAATTATAATTTTCTTTAAACCAGTTTTTGTAGGCTAAACCAAAATAAATAAATAAATTATGAGAAAGCAAAAAAAAAAAGTTAAAACAGAAAGCTTTTTGACTGAGTCTAGTCACACACATGACACATCCTCTTGGCTTTTGTGCACTTTTTAGCTTTTTCATAGTTCCCATAAATTTTGTTTTATTTCAAAGAGCTATGAATTTATGATGAATTAAATGAGAATTAACATGCTTATACAATATTCCTACAATAATTAAGTGTTTTTTAACACCTAAAAAACACTTAATTATTGAAAATGAAGTGTTATTTTGATATTTTTAATGACAATTCCAAAAAGAAACTAATAATATTTATACCTTATTAAAATTCAAAATAACTTTTGCTTTTCTTCAATAAGCTTGAAGTCCAATCAAAAAAATTATACAATTTTCTACTAAAAATATAAAATGACACATATTATAAAACATACAAATAATTTTAATGGGAAACAGAGTATTAAAAAACAATATGCAAATAAATTTAGTACAGTAAAAAAAATTGTTTTGCTTTATAGCATTCTTAATTTTGATGTGAAAAGCAAAAGAAGTATATAATATATGCTATAGTAACAAAAATAAGCATGCAATATACAAGTATTTCTTTCTAGATATTTTAAGAAACTCAAAGAAATAGTTTATAACTTTATTTTCGGTTATATTATAACTGAATTATTATGAAACTCTAACGGCTTTTTCCATATATACTCTTGCGTAAAATAAGGATCATTAAATTAAGGTAGTTGATTCCAAAATGGTCGGTTAAAGTTTACAGTTGATGACTGTTAAGATTAGAATACTAAAAACGGTTATTAACATTATTATGGTCGGTCCATCTCTTTATATTTCTAGTTTATTATGTCTTTTTTTAATAAAGTGAGTGTATATTATTAGAAAAAAAAACTCATGATTGAGTGAGAGCTTTAACCGTAATCCTTATAATTTTCCCAAAATTAACGCGTTATGAATTCATATCATATCATTAGAATCAATCTGAAAAGTACGAATTGTTTTATTTTTTACTTATTATCAATGAAGTATCATTGTCGGAAGAAAGCAAACGAAAAGATTTGGCGTCACATGACAGCCACAAATTATGAATTTGCGATAAACGCGTTTCGTTGGAATTTCACGAATTTAATATGATTTCAGTATAAATTTGTGATAATAGATTAAACTAGCACATAAATATTGGATCCGAACCAAATTGGCCCATACGAATTTGGACCGATCAAAATAGCCCAAAATTAATGTAAAAAGACAATTACCCACATGTTTTTTTTTGTATTATAGAAATGCCATTATGTTTAATTTTTGGTGAAAAAAAACACTAAACCTAATTTATAATAAATAAAAAAAATTATAATTCATTCTCCTTTCTCTGAGAGAGAGCTTCAGCCGCCGGAGAAAAAAAAAATTAGTTTGGCTCCCTCTGTTTCCACTATCTCTCTCCCTCCTCCTCACGGTGCTCTCTCTCTTCGTCATCATCCGTTGGATCTCTCTCTTTCCCCCGCAATCTACTCTCCACGGATCGGAGTCCTCTGCATCTCACCTTCTCCTCGTCGCTGTTGTCAATAGTCACGGCCGTGTCACGCTTGTTTACTTCCATCTATACTCCGTTTCTTCTCTACTTCGACTCTTATTGATGCGGACATCAGAACTAGATCAGACCAAGAGCACACCAAACCGGTCTACATGGAGAATTTTGGAGAATCTTTGTCTAAGTGGAGTTCTGATCAAGTTCAAGGCGAAGGGTTAATCATTCACCATGGTATTAACCTTAAGAAGTCCAATGGTTCAAGAAGGGTCAAAAATCAGCAAGTCAAATCACCTTGTTATTGGGATATGACTGTTGCACTCTTTTTCCCTTATCTAGGGTTTGTCCCAATGGGTTTACCTAGAAAGGTTTTTAATGAGGCAACACCAAGTCATCAAGGAATCATTCACCATACATATGATTCAAAGATGATAGCTGATGTACATTCTGATCTACTCGCGGACAAGCATGCTGAACTACTCGATGACAAGCATTCTGAACTACTCGCTGACGTACACGCTGACGAACCTGAAGTAGTACAAGACCAGATGAAGTTATTCAAAGAAGGTTTTCTTGTACCACGTAATGGTGTGTATGGACATTTTAATTGGAGCCCAGAAGACATTTTAAATCATTCAAGGTCCATACCACACAAGATTTGGTGCACCTCATCTCACATGATCTTTATGGAGCTTAAAATGGATGTTTCCTTAAATGGCTTATTCCAAATATTCCCATGGCGACCTGGAGAGTTTCCATATCACTTAGAAGCTTCACTACACCCTCTAGGATGCACCACACCACACTTGATCAGGAGGATCACGTCTAAGCTCTACTTACCTTACTCGGACTCGTTCGGCATCAACACACAATGGCTCTTTCCTTCTTTGTTTGTGTGCGTGTTTAAGGCTCTCACTAACATCAAGAAGCTTCCAAGCACTCCACATATCCCCCAAAACCGTCCAGATACAAGCTTAATCATACCTAGCTTCCTTGGCCAAGGAATCCACCATAAAGACTCCAACGGCTAGTTTTTGATTAATATTGCATATCTTATTTCTTTATTTAGCTTTTAGAATATTGTACTCAGCCCTATATAAGCTGATCATTAGAATCATTGTAAAGCACCCTTGATCAATTTAAAGTAAAAGAAAGTTTTATTCTTGTCAAAGTTTGAGTCTTTGTCATTGTTCTTCATTAGTCTTAAGTGAGCGAGTCTCTTAAGTCTATTGGAATCTGCGGATTAATTTTGTTGAGTGATTCAACAACCTTCATTCGTCCATTGATCGAGTGAGTCGATTATCCCACTGATTGAGCGAGTCAATCACCTGAACTATCCCCTGAACCACCCACTAATTCACGAGAGAGTGCTTCTGGCCAGCTCGTGAATTCCACCTTCCGCAAGATAAGCTTGGAATCTCTTGATCATCAAGTGATCTAAAGTTTGGAGTGATTCCAATCTTGCATCATCTGGTATCAGAGTTTCAAAAGCTCCTATCCCCAAGGTTGTATCTTTTCAACCTATATTTGTTTTTCTATTTTTCTTATTGTTTTTTTATATATATATAAAAAAATCAAATAAATTTTTATTCCTTGCTTTAATCTTGTTATTTGCTTCAGTATTTTATCAAAAAAAAAAAAAAATTTTACTTCATTTTCTTATTTATTTCGGATTTATTAAAAGAAAAGCCATAAAAATCATAATATTTGTTATTTTAAATTAATTTCGTATTTTATTTTTATAAAACCAGAAAATAAATTAAAAGCTGAATTTTTACTTTTTGTTATCTGAATTTTTCGGATTTATTTTAAAAAAAAAAAAAATATTCATTTCTATTTTTTGAAGTTTTTTCCTTATTTGTTGATTTACTTTTTGATACATCTTTCTTTTGCTTGTGCAAGATTCTTCTATCACGAAGACCAGAGCAAATATGGAGTTTATTGAGTTTTACTCAGATGAAGAACTTCAAGAAGAAGAGCCCTATCAAGTCACGTCGGATGAGGAAGACAACTATCGAACGATCTCGTGGCGACGAGATGATAGTTCAGCTTCTGATTCAAAAGATGAACCAGGCTATGAAGTACCAGAACCAGAACCGCCTGACTCATACAACAACAATAAAGGCTACTCTAAACCATGGATTAAATTTAATGATAATTTTTCCAGCCATGGTTCAAAATCTCCATTGACCTAAATTATGTCTTTTTCAGGAAAAGATGATTATCTTAAGCGAAAAGAAGACATGGAGTATAAAAAGGCAACAACAAAGGGCAACCAGTATCGACGTCCTCCAAGGCGTGAAGAGAAGACCGACCATCACCTCTTATTACACCGAGTCCCTACAGCCTCACGTCAAACAAAATCAAGAGACAAGTACTTCTGTACAAACCCACAAGTAGTACAGGAAGTGATTCAAGAATCATCCATTCGTTTTGAACCACATCCAAGTGGTAGGCGTGATCCCCTAGCTGAGAGAGACGCAAGGACCAGTAAGCTAGGAGGAGGCGAGCTGAAACATGGTGCCAGAAGAGACCCGTTGCTAAACAACCCCACCCGAACCAACAAGACGAATTACAGGTTATCTCTAAACAATGGTTATAAGTATTTTGGATCTGAAAGTTTTGAATTTGCAGGACATGAAAGAGATTATCTACAATGGGAAATCAACATGGACAAGTACTTTAGGTACTATTCCATTCCCAAAGAAGAGAGGCTCACCTACAGTCTTGAACAACTCATGGGAAGTGCAAAACATTGGTGGAAGCGAGAGGAAAAAGATAGAGTATGGTACAAGGAGCCATCACTCAGAACGTGGGGGCAACTAAAGTTTCTTATGAGGGAGAGATATGCACCTCAAATGCTTTCCCAACCAGGTCAAAACACTTACCCCTCAAAGGAACCAAGTCGAGAGAACACAACACGTCAACGTGTTAGTTCCAATCAAAACGCGGATATATCACCCGCCAAGGTAAGTACCACAACTTCTAAGCTTAATGTTTATCAACAAGTTGACCACGTGATACACTTGTTTTCATCCAAGAAGAATGAGAAAGATACAGGTGAAAAGGAAGAGTCACGCCCAACACCTTTACTTAAGCCGCAAGATAAACCCGAGCAAGGTAAGTCCTCTAACTCTTTAAAATCAAATGCACCGACATGTTATAGATGCCATAAGAGAGGTCATTTTGCTGCATCATGTCCTGAACGACATGTAGAACATATCACATCAATAGAGTTAAAACCAAATGCATCGAACTCAAATGATTGTCTAGTGAAATCAAGTTTAGAAATTCCCAATTCTAGATTAATGCACTTGTCTTTGCCAAAGGTTATTGATGCAGGTCTAAGTCATATGATGGATGACAAGGATGAAGAATTTAACCACCATGTAGCAAGTCCAAGGGAAGTTGAGAACGACATAAGCCTTAAGGAGCAACTTTCGGAAACAACGTCATCACAAGTTTGCGAAAATGAGACGTGTGAGCAAGCATATGTTGAAGCATGTGTGAAGGTCCAACTATGTTCAACATCATCTGATCTTGCTTCAAACATCACACTCATTAAGGTTGAGTTCATACCAAACACCTTAAATGGTATCCTAGTAAGTGAAACCTACGATCTTGTTCGATATTGGAATAATTTAATAATTAATCAAAGCTTCAAAGACTTTGTTTTAAATGATTATATTTCAAGTATAATGCACTTGATTTTATTCTTAAGTGTCAAGAAAGATACAGGTACCATAGAAGAGTATCATGATGAGCGAGAGACCACATCCCAAAGGATATTGAATGTGGAGCAACGAAGAAACTAGCAAAGAGTGATAACATGCATCCAGTTCAAGAGCTTAAGATGTGTTTACCAGCTAAGAAAGATGATGAAGTTAGCACCAACAACATCTTGCTGCAAGAAGAATCACCGGACCAGTCATTGAATCAACCAACCGTGGTTATTTCGAAAGATATATTCAACAAAGATCTATGTCAAGTAAGTCCCACGTTACTTCGAGTTATTTCTAATAATTTGAATGATGTAATAATGTTGTTAAGGTCTAGAAAGTTTGAGAGACACGTTGGTTATTTAAATAAACATGTAGAATCAATTTCTTGTTTTAAATCATATCGATTAGTTGATACATTTTGTGCCATACTTATTGATAAACTTTATAAAAGAGAAATGGTTCAACTCGTCCTTGTTTTACATGTTTATATTGTTCCCATGACTGTATTAATGCACTTGTTCTTTGCCAAAAGTGTCAACAACATTGCAGGTACGAATGAGGATCATAAAGGCGATCCACCGGAGATGAAGAAACGCTTGAATCAAAATCGAAACCGGAGTAAACCAGCGCCATTGGTGGTCACACCTTCCCTAATGGAGACTAGGAGAGTCCCAAGTTCATTCTTAATCAAAGAGGAACCGCCAGATTTCAAAACTCAAGCACATACCCAAGAAGGAGCTAACCACGTTACACCATCAACCGTTGTACTAGATCAAAACCAAGGAGTGATGTTTACTTTCTTGCTCAAAGGAGAGCCACCGGATGCACCATGCATCATGAAGACAGAACAACACCAAGGTAAGACATTGAAATCTCAAAATTGCATGAAAGCTAACTTGCTTTCTCTTGGTGCAGATTGTACAGTTTCGAGGTCGAAACTTTTTCAAGAGAGAGGGTATGATGCGGACATCAGAACTAGATCAGACCAAGAGCACACCAAACCGGTCTACATGGAGAATTTTGGAGAATCTTTGTCTAAGTGGAGTTCTGATCAAGTTCAAGGCGAAGGGTTAATCATTCACCATGGTATTAACCTTAAGAAGTCCAATGGTTCAAGAAGGGTCAAAAATCAGCAAGTCAAATCACCTTGTTATTGGGATATGACTGTTGCACTCTTTTTCCCTTATCTAGGGTTTGTCCCAATGGGTTTACCTAGAAAGGTTTTTAATGAGGCAACACCAAGTCATCAAGGAATCATTCACCATACATATGATTCAAAGATGATAGCTGATGTACATTCTGATCTACTCGCGGACAAGCATGCTGAACTACTCGATGACAAGCATTCTGAACTACTCGCTGACGTACACGCTGACGAACCTGAAGTAGTACAAGACCAGATGAAGTTATTCAAAGAAGGTTTTCTTGTACCACGTAATGGTGTGTATGGACATTTTAATTGGAGCTCAGAAGACATTTTAAATCATTCAAGGTCCATACCACACAAGATTTGGTGCACCTCATCTCACATGATCTTTATGGAGCTTAAAATGGATGTTTCCTTAAATGGCTTATTCCAAATATTCCCATGGCGACCTGGAGAGTTTCCATATCACTTAGAAGCTTCACTACACCCTCTAGGATGCACCACACCACACTTGATCAGGAGGATCACGTCTAAGCTCTACTTACCTTACTCGGACTCGTTCGGCATCAACACACAATGGCTCTTTCCTTCTTTGTTTGTGTGCGTGTTTAAGGCTCTCACTAACATCAAGAAGCTTCCAAGCACTCCACATATCCCCCAAAACCGTCCAGATACAAGCTTAATCATACCTAGCTTCC